AAGAGAATGCCGGAGTCTTAGAGCTTGTTATTGTCCAACCTGAAGTTTGCAGCGTCAATACTTGGAGGAGTTGTTGAAACAGTCGAATGCAGTAAGTGTCCTAGAACTTTGCTGATCTTCTCGCCTCATGGACGAGTGACTGGGTTCAAAAAACGTGAAGACCAAGGAACGTGCACCAGAGGTTCCACCTTACTAGAAATTAACATGCGCGAATCCCTCACCTGTCCTTTATGTCAGTCTGCAGAAGGAAGTCCTTTTGGACATGTCCAGAAGAACCGGCTTTTCAGATTAAACTTGTCTAAAGATAGGGTTAACTTTGCTCATTGCGCGTTTTCAGGCTAACATTTTGGAAACGGTCATGGTGAAGCATGTCCCCTCGGCTAGTTTGAGCATCTTTCCGGCAAATGATGTAGCCGCGGTAACCATAAAAAATACAGGTGTACAGAGCACTGCAGTTTGATTAGAAGGCATATTGTAGACAAATGAGGGCAAAAGAAAACAGTAATAAACGTAGGGATGGAAAGCGTGGAAGATAGTCTCTTTCGAGCAAAAAGATGCCGCATTGCGAGTAACCTAGCAGAATTTTAAACGATAACCTAACAACCGTATCTTGAAAAATTGCCAACTGACAGCATAATAGGGGTCTACTTAGGACCGACGATTAGACTGCAATGACTTTATCTCAACATAGCCTTAATAGCCCCCTTTCACTGATAGCCAATCCGTAGGGAGTTAGGGGTCCCGGTCTGTATGACAGACATAGACGTGACCTCGAATCCATCAGCAAACACGTACACGCCCGTTTCCAGTCGTCTTGACTCTAGTTTGCCATGGGAATGTGGTATTTGGGTGGAGGGGGGGAGAGAGAGAGAGAGGGAGTGACGCAAATGCGCTAAAGTCTGCCCCGCCATACAGGGATTCACACACAAATGGTCGACAATGGACACATACCTCGGGTGGTACAATACATTGGCGGTGCTACAAAACGGGACCGGCTTGCACAAGTTGCAAATGGTGCATTTACCTATGCGCGCAAACCACGCGCACTTTTAATGTACGTAAATCAGGCAGAAACAGATAGTGAAAGTGGCTGGATAGATAGATGCGAGCCTACAACGGCCAAAAACGACTGAACGTAGAAACGCTTACACAAGTCATTCACAACACAATTAGTCCCCGCGTCATTCAGTAGGAAGGTCAAATCACACGGATATCAAACTGCGAAAACGTCTCAGGCTATACGGACTGGCTTTGAAATCGCCGTTTGTCCAAAAAGCTCGGACCCAAATCAACGGCTTTCTAAATCTCGACGAAATAGCCTAAGAACAGTAATATTGGCGTTGTCTATGGTAAAAACTCATTCGAAACCATTTTCTTCAGAGGTTTGCCCTGGAAGAAATGGTTGCTGGATGTACGGAACGACATAATTGGTAAGCTGAGATGCAGTTGGGTGAGCATTCGCAAGTAGCAAGCGTTTCTGGCTGAAATTAAATCCGGTGGAAGTAAGCCTTACTTTAGTTTTAAAGAAACCGCAAAAACATGCCTGCACAAACAAAAAGCGACTAAGTTAGGCATATCGTAGGGACGTATCTACGGCAACTGACAAATCTTAAATAAACATCGCAGTAAGTAAACGTTCAACATGCTGTCGCTGCAAAAACCGAACGGTTTCTCTTAGGCAACCGTAAACAAGGCAAATTTACAAGAATTTGCTAATCGAAAATAAATGCTATGCTTCGAGTAAAATATAAAGAAAATTACTTAAGGTGAACAAATTGGTGGCTTAATGAGTGATGTGACCAACCTGACAGAATAGTGTTTCCGAGGCAGTCGAGAAGCCCATATCTATGCTCAGACCGAGAACATTGATAACCTATAGCGAATGAGAGAATACAAAAATGTTGCATCGGATAGAGATTTGAAACCCTTCAGACACGATGTGTGCTACCTGCGGCATAAGCATGTCAGCAACATGCAAGGTTTTGTATAAAAGGACCAGTCTCAAGAAATAGCGTCTTGTCGCTTAAAATCCAAAGGTATGCGTGGGCACCAGTAGTCGCCACGACAATATCATATATCTAGCATGCACCTGTCGCTCTTAGGACTACGACCTTCTCGGTAAAGAATTGAGTGGGGGTCGACGAAATATCCGCGGTCCCACTAAGTACGAGTGTTTGACCACCTGAAGTTTTAACCCAGTTCGGTAGACCGTCAAGCTGTTGTAACTCAGAAACACTACCATTGGAGCCAGTCTCCACTATTGCGATTGAGAATTGGTAAAACAGGCAAATAAGCAAAAATAGTCAATCTAATCTTTCTTGCCTCTGTCCGTAACACCTCTGGTTGCTGAATGTTCGCCGCTAAGCAACTGCCTAAGACAGTTCTATACCCGGAGCTCCAAGATATAACGAAAAATACCCATCTCCGTTCCGCAGTTCAGATAAATCGGTAATGCCATATGATTTTAAAGAATTTCTCTGACAAAGCCGTGTCTAAGAGACGGCTGTAAATGTAATTAGTTCAAACGGCAAAATCCACTTTCCACGTGGTCTACTTACGCATGGAACCCCAATGGGAGGGAGAAAATGCGCGAACGACATGGTAGTAAACAAGCGAGTGCACTGTATCACAAAAAACGAAACTTTTGCATATTTCGAGCAACCATTGCCAATTACTGACTGTTGAGGCAATTTAGCCCACCGTGCGAGGCTAAAGAAGCGAAATGGCGTCAGTGAGATTGTAAAAGGCATTATCAGACCTTCGGTACGGCTTAGCAACGACCTGATGTTCAATGAAGCGACTCGGGACAACTTATGAGGGTGGCAAAAGACCCTAGATTGACGTATTTTGGCTTTTGTTGGTCATGAAGTGACAACGATTGAGTCGAATCGAAATATCCATTGTATAAGGAGAACAGGTTTCTGTCTTAACAGCGTTAAGTCGACTCATTCTGAAGAGGAAAAACGTATCGAATGTCATTAAGAGAATATAACATGTAATATTTTCATTGAAATAGGCCTGATTATCAGCTAGGACCCAGACGTTGACTCAATCCACTTCTCAGCTCATGGTCCATTTGACGATGAGCAATAAAAGCTGAAGTGAACGTTACAAGTAGCAAGGCGAGACGCCGTGAAATATGCTGCTAGTACGACGAATCTGGCTATCGGTCTAGATGCTGGGTAGCCGGCGAGTCAACGATTGATGGATAGTGCAACTGCTTTTAGCGAAGACTAGCTGCTGAGTAAGCGTACTCTTGCGTACGACGAACGGTCGCATTCAAGCGGCCGCAAGGATACCCGGGTGCGGAAGGTTGACAATTGGCAGTCCGCCTACGCCCTGAAAAGTCGCAATGCACGAGGAAAACACTGTCATGTGGCGGCCGTGAACCGTCACTAAAGAGGTTCTCTTGTTCTCAAGATGTCAAACAGACAGGGCACGGAAGACCAACTTTAACAATGAAGTGAGAAGGCTTTTGGTGATCTCCCTGTGGTGAAAGCTCCCAGTTAAATTCGAAAAAACTGCTACCGGCTATTCCAGACGATATCAAGTCTATATATCGGATAACAGCAATAACGCCGTACGGTTACTAGGGTTAACCATGTAAACAAAAGTGCTTTCCGATATAAATAGGTGGGGGTTCTAATACATGAACTGTTAGTTCGTTTGTGCTCAACAGCTTATTTAAAACCAAGCTAGTAAATCTACACAGCCCAAGTTCTCAGCAAGTCCTCAGTGATTAACTTCAACAAACTGGTACAAAGTCCGAAAGGTTGTAAGACGAGCGCACAACTCTGTTAGGTAATGTGAATTCTTCTGTTAGTACTACTTCGAAACCAGGTTTGGGGAGTTTTTCCAAGTTTTATTGGAGGAACAGGAGCATTGAAAGTTTAAAAAATGACCACTGCGTATGTAATATTTTAGTGAGTAGGCATTTGGCCATCGAGTAGTGACGGTTACAAAAAAGTGCTATAAGTAGATCGGAAAGCGACAATAAGGCGCTTTGTGCGCTGAGTATAAACTACTGTAAATACCTTTGCAGAAAGCAGTCGACAATTCCTAAGTAGCAGTATGATTAGCATTTTTGGAAAGAATGGCAATGCAACAATTTGGAAATTAATAAACGAACATTTCTAACGGTCAAATGAAAATGTTTGACCATAAAACGGTGATCCAAAACGATTAGAATTACTGTAGTACCTATACGAACCAGCATGAGCGAGAGACAAATTAACATTGAAGGCGTGGATAAAAAGTGAGCAGTTTAAGTGCTAGTAAAATCAATTGCTCCAGGCTCACAGTTGCGCTCAACAGGACAGAGTTTGTAGAGGGATGGCGCTCTAGCGTCTGACCCTACTCGGACCGCATACTCTATGACTAATGGACACTCCATCTAAAAACTGGCGATTCGCAGAATGGAAGCTGACTTTGCGCTGGCATCTTAAGAAGAATTAGTTGAATCTTATACTGAATTGTCTTGACTGACAAGTGGCACTGGAACTGGCACCCTTATAACCAGACTGACATACTTTGGAAAATAATGACGTCTTGAAACTTAGGAACACCGTACCTTTTACTAATGGGGACAGATAATTGGTTAGCCGACTTAAACTAGTTCTTTCTGGTGTCTTTTGTAGACAATCATGGTGTAAAAAGTTTCGCTTCGCTGGTGTGATGAACTGGTACGCAGACTGCACAAAAGGTCTGGCTGGCCAAAGTGATAAATTCCATAGACCCTGTATCATACAAATGGAGCGTGCAGGCAGTATAAAAATAGGACTGGACCAATGCTGCACAGGCCTTCAATCCCAGGGGTGCGAAAAAATCACGAATTATTGCACATTAACTTCAAACAGCTAAAAACCTCACATGATGCTTCGGACAAGTCATATTTCGCCACTGCTCTCGGTATCGATTAATTTATATTCGTAACCAAGCCACTAGTTAATATCCGAAAAACGCCCGCCTATTAGTTACCTGACGCGAATAACTGTTGATTTTATGCATCCGAACCATTCAATTCACGGCAGAGTATGGGAGTGGGGCATAAGCATAAAAAAGTCAAAATTCTCATTCAATGAAACAAGACGAACTTTCTACCTCATTCTAGCGAATTAAAGTTACTATCTTAACATATCCATGCTTGTTCTTTTAACCTCGAAACAAGTGACAGTAAAAACCCTTTTTTAAAAATAATCCGTCCAAAAATCCTACTGCCTTGAAATGTGACAGTCAAAACAACGCGGAATGTCAATAGATAGGTATCTCATCTTGCATTGGTTATTCGAATCAAAACTTCAGAGGGAATCTTAGACATCTGAGACTGGGTCACGACTTCCTGCAAACGCTCAATGCAAAAAGTAGTAAGTTTAAGTCGAGTCTTACGGAGTTTGCAAGGGAGGCTGCATCTAGCTCTTCCCGGCTAAGGTGACCACAAATCATAATGCTGAGGGATGGATTGATAAAGCGCAGGAGGTGCGTTAGCATCTAAAGAAAAATGTCGAATTATTAGTAAGGGAACTTCGATAAATATTTTGAGTGTACAGTGGGAAATGGCATCGAAAGGGACAACACAATTCATGTATAGATGCCGTAAATTTAAACTTGTAAAGAATCCCAAAAGTACATCACAGAAAAGCAAACCCGCTCACAAAACAAGACAATTAGTTTACATGCACATTTATCAGGAAACAGTAATTATCCAGATGACATTGTTCTATATTATGGTGGGCTACACCAAAGTGGACACGAATAAACCAGGGATATTAAATGTAGGAAGAGACTACTCACCAGGGGCCATGCTAGAGAGAGTATGCACTTCAACTCTGGAATAAATCCGTTGATGTAAGAACGCATAAAATGAGAGCTTCTGGAGGAGTAAAGAAAAATAAATTGCGCAAGAAGCGATCACTGAGACAACTCCCAATTCTTAAAAAAGAGTGATATATTTCTGGCACGTGGCAAAGTGCTGTAGACTAGTTCTCGTCGACCACTCAGAAAAAAACGAATAATAAACGGTAAAAGCTGACCCCTAAATAATACTTAATGTCTACAGTGGCTGTTTTGCACTAAGCAGACTGCAATTTAATTCAGCCTGTACATTGTTGTGCACATTATAAGGAAACATAGTGTCCTAAAGAGTCGCTTTGGGTGAACAAGCATTTTGGGAAGTCTACCAGTCTATCTAGTAAAACAGTTTGCAAATAACAGCAATAGGACGTAGCAGCTCTAAACATTCCACTAAAATGTCTTCAAGTACAGTGCGTGACCGATCCCATGAAATCTTGGTCAAAATTCTGAAATGCGTTTTTGATTAGGAAGGATTAGGTAAGCGCGGTTGAAATACTGATTATCTTGTGGCATAATCCTATAATATTTCGGACTCGGTAGGACGTCAGCTTTTGCTGCACTACTTTTTAATTTCCTGCAAAAACCGTAGTCGACAAAGAATGACTGCTCAAGTAGCATGCATTTTTCAGACTGATTCTCGATGTACTCGAAAAATTCAAATATATTTTATAGAATGTATTAATGAAAATATGCTCTTTTTCAGTCGTTTGACAGAAAATCACGTCATCTTTATTTTTTATACTCGAAGAAGGTGTATAATTAGGTTTTAAAAAAGGTTTTCTAATTCTCGAATAATTTGGAGCCTAATCAGCCGTTGCATTAGCGCCTAGTAAATTCAGTCTACAAAGTGCATGAGTACTGCGTAAAGAAAATCACATATTCTTCTATGCCTTTAAAAAGATACCATATAGAGCCCATAAAATTCTGCAATGGATGCGGACCATTTTGTACATTTCACGAGGAACAGTGGTTAACGGAGAGGTACAATGCTGTACGAATGGACATTGCACGGTGATAAAAATCTCATAATTAGAAACTTTTTAAAACCTGATCATACGCCTTCTTTGAGTATAAAAAATAAAGATGATGTGATTCGCTATCAAACTACTGAAAGAAAGCATATTTTTGTTCGCGCATTCTGTCAAATATATTTGAATTTGCAAGACCATCGAGAATCAGTGTGAAAAATGTATGCAACTTAAGCAGTCATTTTTTACCGACTACGGATT